ATGTCATGCTTTCCACATTGTAAATCTTGTAACTCGCAAGTCTAAAATTATAATAATAAATGATAGCGCGATAGCCATTTGCTCCTTCAAAAAAAAAAAAAAAAAAACAAACTAAATTATTATTTTACTAAATATTAATACAATTTAAATTAATAGTTTATTATAGAAAAAAAGTGAATTATGAAGTTGAAAAAAAAACTATTAAGAAGATTTTTACTTATAAAATAAGATTTTTTTATTCTTTTTTATAAATAAAATAAACTTAATTTAAATTATAATATAAGTCTATCTATTTGATGCCAGTTAATACTATTATAAAAATTGAATTAACTTATATTTATGTAAAGATCTTTAATATAATAACTATAAACTCTCATTTAATAAAAAGTCTTATATTTAATACTTACGTATTTTTATTTTTATTTTAAAAAATAAAGATTATTTATAAAATAGATATCTTGGTTTATAAGTCTTGTAATTATTATGTTTAATCAAATCAAAGCTTATAGAAATTATTTTTCGTTTATTGGTTATCATCAAATAATCAAATTAGTAGTTTTTATCTCTGATTAATTTATCAAGGATCGACATATATCTTCAGTATGCATCATTTTAGTACAACTAAAAATGAATCCTTCCGGAATACACGTTCATTTTGATCTCATACTTTTGTCGTATTCTTTTATAGAGAGGAGAGTTGAACCCGTTTGAAAGGCCGCTCTTAATTCGATAGTATCTTGAATTTCACGATTTCGCGTCTTTCTTAAGCCACAATTACACATATATTATGACATGCGTACAGGGGATCGGGGGATACGAATACTTGGATGACGAAGAGCAGGTACGCCTGTAAATACTTTAATTTACGATCGTACTTTTAGAAATTTATTTTTTTTAAAAAAAAAATAATGTCTTAGGCTATGCTAAGACGGGCTCTCGCTCTTTCTTTGGAAAGGAACGACAATTACTCCGAGGACAGTTCGCAGCAGACCTTTTCTTTGGAAAGGAAAGACAACGACCTCGAGGGCGACTCACAGCGGGCTTTTACGCTTTCTCTGGAAAATAAAGATAGTTACATCGACGATGTTCCACAGCAAGCTCTTTCGCTTTCCTTAAGAAGAAGAATTAACAATCCTGAAGAAGTTGGGCCGATACCACGTTTTATGTCATTTGGAGCACCGTTCTTTGAATCTCCAAAAACCACATTTTACCCTGATTTAAATAATAAATCTGAACAATGGGTGAAGCAGCGACAAACTTTTAATGAGAAGCGCTATTTTCGCTACCTTTTGGAAGATCTATGCAGGTACAGCCAAGTTGAATTATTGTTTCTATTGATGATAATATCCCATTTGCTAATTTTATTTGTTACAATATTATAGCTACCTTTATTTTCTTATCAAAGCTGCTTTCTTTTTAATCCTCTTGATGATATTGATGTCCGTCATAATGGGTATCGTTCAGTTTGTCATGATCTTTCGATCTGACATTAATAAAGAATTTGAAATTATAGCTTCTGGTATGAGCAAAGATTACTCATGTTTTTCTTTAATTACAACCGGTCTAAATGGCATGATTTTAATTAACCAAATTTAGAGATCCATCATCAAGCGCAAAAATGCACGATAAATTATGTGACAAATCGATGCGCGCCCGAGACCAGAGCTCCGTTCTTGGAAGAGAATTGCACTAAGTGGGAGAAATGTATGAATCGAGACCCATACAATTCCATAAAAACGACCGAAGTGGTACTCGGTCTTATTGCACGACTAATTTCTGCTTTTGTCACTCAACTTACATATAAGACAATGATGTTTCTTTTTATCATAAATTTGATTTTCTTTGGCACAATGCTACACAGATTCACATGAGATTTTTTTTTATAGAAATATGATGTATTTAAAAGCAAACTCGTAATTTAGACTTAATTATCATCTATTGGCTCACTCTAATAAATTTCCAATTTTGGTAATAATGATGTAATCAGTAAACCATAGAAAACCATCAATCATCTTAATCGTTCTTTCTCTTATTGAAAACATGCGCGCGTATTATCTCGACACTGATTCTCCGGAGCAGCATGAGCTAGTTCCTTTTTCACCTGTCACTCCCGAAGAACTTGCAAACTATGGAGTTCTCTACTGGCGCATCGAGGGCGAGAACAGTATTGAGAAGATAGATGAAATTGCAAGGGAACGAAATTATAGCAGTCGCGATGAAGTTAGTAGTTAATCTCATCCTTATTAAACTGTGGAAACGACGTAAAATTAATTAGACTAGATCAATTGTTCCCGTGAGGGACTAGGTGACTTGTACGACAGCAAGTTAAAAACGTTTTTTGAAGAGTAGCGTCTCATTTTCAGGAATTAAGTGAGTTAAACAGTTTGACAAATGCTAATATTGTATATTCACTTTGTATGACTCAGACACCTTCATGAAGATGAAGAAATTCGTTATATATTGGATGGATCTGGCTTCTTTGACGTTCGCGGTAAAGTTGGATAATTATCAACACGACCATTATGGCATCAAGTTTGAATCCTATTCATTGAATGACATACAAACAACAGATAGTCGTGATCGCTGGATTCGCATTGATGTAGAGAAAGGAGACATGCTTATTTTGGTAAGATTTTTGACCAATTCAATATGATGCGATACACATGATATCATTATTTCTAATCACAATCTTTTATTTAAGCCGGCCGGTATTTACCATCGTTTTGGTCTTCACGACAAAGAATGCTTAAAAGCCCTGAGTAATTTTAATTCCTACATACAGCATGAAATTTCTTTCCCAGTGCAAACTAACAAAACTCTTCGATCAGGATTATTTAAAGATACTCCAAAATGGACACCAATCAATCGTATGTATATTAAAAGCATAGAATTCTCTGATTTATCAATTAGTTTAATAATCAACCTGTGATAATTTTTCATTCAGGTCCGGCCGACGACAATCCATCCCGTTTAGAATACTTGAGAAGTCTCTAGAGAGTGTATTAAATTAAATCATTCATCTGGTATGATGTATACATGCTATTGCTACTTTTGCCAGAAGAGCGATCATTGGTAATGAATCCCGAATGAATAAACAATAAATTATTTTACATTTTCTTTTTACTTAATTCATTCGTGAAATTTTTCAAATTATTTATTTTTTCTTGAAACTATATATATATTTTTTTCTGAAACAAAGAACAAGTTATTAAACAAGTGTATGAACTCTTGATTTTTTTTTTCAATCAACAATAAACTGAATGTTGTAATTTTGTGAGCCATCTAACTCTGAGAACGCTTCGAGAATGTCGGGAAATATATATTTGTACAAATTGGTCAGAAAAAAAGTGTAAATATACATATACGATTTCAAAAGAATCAACTCAGAGATTTCTTCTTTAATAAAGGACTTTAAAAGTCAAGCCTAAGTCTATTGAAATTTTAAGAAAAATAGTAAATAATGATCTACCATGTACTTCAAGATGACCCTCGACGGTCAAGTGATCTTATTTCGAACAAAGGCTTGAGCTACAATAATCAAAGCAAACTGAGCATCTAAAAAAAAAATGTGAGCTTTATAAGGAAAAAAAATATTTAGGCGGAGGGATGATTTTTGTTGGGAAGAGGGCATCAGATATTCCGATGTTATGGGAGCGGTAAGTATGGATTTTAGTTATCTACAGCTCCACGAAGAAATTGTATTAAGGCTGGTTAAAAAAACCAAATAAGAAAAGAGTGTAGCAAGTAAAAGAATACATTGGTGAATACAAAATATATAATATATATAATTGACATATTACAGTGCGGATTTTTTTAGCGTGAAAATTTTTTTGATTTGATTAACAACTTTTTGCTTGCGGAAATTTTATGAACAAGAATCGACAACTGCTGAATGAACGTGTGCCTCGAATAGCGAATCCTGCAATGTCAAATCTCTCAAATGGAATAATTATTCTACATCTTGTAAGGCCCATAAAACTCCTTGGTCTATCATAAGTTCTTTGATGCTATGACGAACTTCCTGTGATTCAACTCGTTC